TTGGCGGGTCCGGGCTGGGGATTCGAACCCGCCACCTTAGGTGTACGTGGCTGGCGCCTTAGCCGGTTGAGCTATAGGCGCCGAGCCAGGTATTTCTTTTGACTTGAAAGTGTGCCTGTGTATGTGTTGAGTACATGTCTGTTAAGTGTGGATGTTTCTGGGTGTTTGTCCCTAGGTGTGGATCTCTGTCCTTGGAAGGGACATGTCTCAAGGCTTTTATGTCTCTGCATGCTCTGCTGGGTAACAATAAATGTGTTGGACATCAAAGCTGTGACTGTCTCCAGGTGTGTATGTGCACATACTTGTGTGTGGTGTAATTGCAGAACTAAAAGCATTTGGGTGTCTGTGTTCATTTTTTATTTGATTTATCTTATTTTCTTATTGCAGTTTTGACTGGGGTCGGGTTTGAACCCTCCACCCTCAGTATATGGGACCAACGTCCTACTCCCTGAGCCACAGGCACTGCCCTGGGTGTCTGTGTTGAATGGTGTATTTGAGTGTCAAGTGTCTGGGTGTGTGTCAGTGTCTGTAGAAGGTGCATCTTAGGGTATTTTTGTGCCTGTGAGTGTATGGAGTATCTGGGTATATGTTTCTGTCTCTAGATATGTCCATGAAGGGGATGTGTCCTCACGGGGGCAGCCCTACTTGGGTTCTAACTGAAGCCCATGGACTCTGATGCCCCTTTAACGCCCCCCCCCACCCCCAGCACCACCTGACATCACATGCAGCCTGCCAGTGCTGCAGTGAGCACGCACCCGCCACACACACTGGCACACAGTTGGAGCCCCAAGCCCCCACAGCCTCCTCCTGGGACCCTTTCCCTGCCCCCCCATGGGCAGGGCCCCACCACCACCTCCAGCCACAGCCTCTGGGGGGCCCATCAGGGCTGGGGGCTGGTGGACCATGTAACCCGGGCTGCAACAGGGAGCGCGGAGGGGAAGGGAACCCCCAGCCCTGCTGGGCCGGCCCAGGCCCCTCCGCGGCTCCCCCTTCACCACCCACCGGCCCAGCTCCACCTGGTGTCTATTAACTGCCCCCCCTATGCCCCTGGGACTCCCCAGACCCAGTCTCTGTGTGTGGCAGCCCTGAGCAGCACTAAGGCTCCAAGATGCCCTTGGTGGATTTCTTCTGCGAGACCTGCTCCAAGCCGTGGCTGGTGGGCTGGTGGGATCAGGTAGGGGAAGGATCATAGAGTGGAGGATGGGCAGAAGCTACAGGCTACCTGGGCTAGACCTTCCATCCCCTGATGTGGGCTTGCATGTTCATCTGTGCACATGTGTAGTCTTGAGATGAAGCCTATAACTGTCCCTGTGTGTGGCCCATGACTAGGTGTGGATGGTGGGTAGCTTGGGGTGGGGGTGGCTCTCAGGGTGGAGGGAGATGTTGAGTAGTCTGTTGATGGGTGTGACCATGTCGGTGCCTAGATGGGTGTTGTGTCTGCTATGATGTTTGTTTGCCTGGGTCAAAGCATGGCCCTGTGTCTGAGATCATATGGTTCTCACTGTGGTGTTGTATGTTTGGGCCATTTCTGTAAGCTCAGAGCTGCCCGATATTTCTGGGGCATGTGACCCCAAGTGTCAGTGATTGCTTTACCGTGTGTGCCCTTTGATTTCTGTGTCTAGGCTGTGTGATGCCTTGTAGAACTGGGAGCCTGGAACTCTGTATATAGTTATATGAGGTGTTATGGGTCCATCTTGTATATGTGTGTGCATGCACCCAGGGTTTCTGACAGAAGAGTGAGTGTCCCATCCCAGTTTGGGCCATGCAGGCTCCCCTTTCCTGCCCACTGTCTCTGCCAGAGTCTTCTCCTGCTTTGGGGGTGCTTTGGCAGAACTTGGGGGTGGGGAGCTAATGCCCTTTTCCTTCTAGGCACAATGTCACAGCAGAGGCCTGTGACAGGTGGCATGGGGTGGCCCAAGAGGACCCCCCAAGCTCAATTTGGGGTGTACTCCACTCATCTATGTGTCCATCCACCTCTCTAGGGTTGAGTGAGAGGGGGCTATATGGGAACCCCTTCCCCATCCCCTGGGTGACCAGACTGAGGTTTCCTTAGCTCACCATTCTCCCCTGCCTTGGCCAAACCTCTTCTTACCCCAGAGCTTGAGTACTGTGTTCCCTTCTTACAAACTGGGCTGGGGCTGGGGTCAGGACCCCCAGTATGGGAGTCCATTTTTGGCACGATGTTGGCCAAGGGCAGCTCTGGGAAGGCAAGAGTTAAGGAGCTGCTGGCCTGCCCTCTTTTCACCCAGCTCAGCAGCTGGTTGGAGAGGAAGTTGCTAAGGAGACTCCTATTGCCATGACAACGGGATTCTCCTGCTACCCCATTGGCTCCCCATTAGGCAGGAGCCCCTCCCTTCCACAGGTGCCCCTCTGGCTCCTCCTTGAGGGGAATGAGGAGGGGAATTCCTCTTTCCTCAGAAAGGAAGGGGTATGCTGATCTGCATTCCCTCAAACCTGGGGCCCACTTCTGGAGATGGGAGGAGAGGGAGGGCTGATCCTCCCCTTTAGCAACCTGGTAGGGGCTCTCCTGGCTGAGTAGAGAAACTGGAGGGACTCATGGGGGTCTTCAGGAGTTTCTTGGGAGGACTCTCACTGTCACACAGACACACATACTGTGATTCTCCCCATCATTCCTTCTTTCTTTACTCCTTCACCTTAGTTCAAGAGGATGCTGAACCGTGAACTCACACACCTGTCAGAAATGAGCAGGTCAGGAAACCAGGTCTCAGAATATATTTCCACAACATTCCTGGGTGAGTGAAGGGCAGCATGTGGGGTGGGGAGGGGGCTGGAGGAGGCTGCCTCTGACCCTGGGTTTTATTACCCATATTTTCCCAGGAACCCTGACTCTTAACTTCCCAAAGATTGGAGTCCCACATTCAAAAACTCCCACACTCAGGATGCCCCCAAACTCAGTAGAACCCCAGATTTTATAGAATCCCATATCTAAAAAATCTACAAGTTTTAAAACCCTTTCATACTCAGGGAAACCCCCAATAAATTTCTCAAACCTGAGACCCTGAGAGACCTCCAAACTCAAATAGAATTCCTAAACTTTAGCCTCCCAACTGAGGCTGGGCATGGTGGCTCATGCCTATGATCCTAGTACTTTGAAGGGCTGAGGCTGGAGGATTGCTTGAGGCCAGGAGTTTGAGACCAGCCTTGACAACATAGCAAGGCCCCATCTCTACAAAAAAAAAAAAA